GTGGAGCCGAGCCAAGGACGTACTTTGATCTCTTGGTAAGCGGTCAGCTGCAAACAGGAAAATTGAGAAATACAGAGAAAGATCAGGCAAGGTGTTAGGAGGGCTCGCTCTCAGGGCCATCTCCAGATATGAGATCTGCCTAGGGCATCAGGTCCTCTCTGGACTGCTGATTGCCAGGGGGACCACCTGGGGCTTCGCTCCAAGAAGCTCTAACCCCAATCCTTCAGCAGGCAAAAGCCAGCGCAGAGGCATTTTGTCACTACACGGCAGTCACTGCTGTGGACGTGGCAGGCACACACTTTAATCCCAGCACTCAAAAGGCAGAGGTGAGGTATCTCTGTGAGTTCAAGGCCAGCCTGGTCTACAGAATGAGATCGAGAACAGGCTCCAAAACTCAGAGAAATTTTAGTGCCAAAAAAAAATAAAAATAAAAAAAAAACAAATAAATAACTGTCCTCCAGTTCATGAGTGTAGAATGCTGTTCTGTTTGTTTCTGTTTCTTATTCTTTCATCGGTGATCTGTTGGTTTCAATGGACCTGTCTCTAACCTTTTCTCCATTTATTTTTAAGTTTTTTTAATCCTATCATTTCAAAGTTCATGTATTTTTATCTTATTTTAGCATTACTCATCACTAGTATTTATAATTTCAAGTAATATTTGTGTGTTGATTTGATTTATATCTCACAGCTTTGTTAAATCTCACTGTTCTAGCAGATTCTTTGCTTTCCGTTGTTTTTGTATTACATATGAGATCATACTGCCATCCATTTTACAGAGAAAGTTTTACTTCTTTGCCTGTAATTTTAGATGCTATGTTTCTCCTTCTTGACTAAATTATCTACATATTATTTCCCAGTAGTTTGTTAAATGAAAGTAGTAGCATTTAACTGATTGCAGACATCAGGTGAAAATGATCATATTCTTCTAGACTAAATATGTTTCTAGCCAAAACATTGAATTCACAGTGATTTGAATGGAGGTAATTGAGTTGTTCTGCTCATTTGCTGATGCTTTTATTTTACAATGATATTGAGGCAGGTGTAGTAGCTGCTACCTCTAATCCCAGCCCATGGGACGCTACAAAAGGAAGACCATGCCTAATTTTGAGAGTAGCGTAGACTACATACTGAATTCCAGGCCATCATAGGTGAAAGAGTCTCAAAAGAGCTGTGTTTTATTAACGGTTTATTCTGTATCAATGACAATAAATAATAATTTTAGTTTTTCTTCACCCTGTTTCTATGATGTTTTCATGTGTTGAACAATCTTTGCATTCCAAAAGTAAATCCTACCTGTTCATGTTACACACTGGGCTGTAACTCACACCCCCATTATAAGGTCAGTAACTTCTTAACCCATGACATTTTCAGGACCTCAGGGGCTCAGTGCTTAAAATCTGCAGTTTTCTAGAGAAAGAACTGAGTAAAGAAGATGTGGATGCTGTTGTGAGACAAGCTACATTTCATAACATGAAATCTGACCCACGAGCAAATTATGAAGATATTATAAAAAAGGAAATTGGGACAAGAAATGATCAGGGAACATTCCTCCGCAAAGGTAAAATTTACTAGTCTGTATAGGCAAAAACAAAAAAAGACGTCGAGTTTTCCTAGAGTACTTTGGAGAAATAATATGTTTTTAAAGTATTTCTCCAGGTGATAATGACATTTGGAAGCATCAAGCATTTTAGAAAACAGAGAAACTGAAGTGTCTTTAGTAGTTTTAGTTAAAAATCTGACAATTTCGTTTACTAAATAAATATGAGTTTCCTACGTTTTAGGCAATACAACTCAATTTTTAAAAGATGTCAGCAGGCTTGTTCTAGGCAATAGATGTGTTAGAAAACTCTAGTGATATTGTGCTATTGTTTTCTTGATGTTGTTATTTTGTTTGTTTTTTGCTTTATTTTGGTTTTATGTTTTGTTTTGTTGGGTCTGTGTGTGTGTGTGTTTGTGTGTGTATGTTTCTAAGAGAGAGAGAGAATGTGTATTTCTCAGTGTAGTCTGAGCAACCACAGCTACCTTAAATTCATAATCCTCCTGCCTCTACTGCATATGCTCCCTGAAAACTAGGATTACAGTCATGATGATGCACTCCTTAGACAAGAACAATATATTTACTATTTTCCTAGGATACTGAACAAGTAAACTTACTGTCTGCTTATATCGAAAACATAATTTAAAATACTGCTTCCTCATGTGTGAGATTTTTTTCATCATAAAATTTAGAGTGATGTCTTAATAACTTTATCTGACATGAATTAAATAAAGTAAACAGGCAATAAACTTATTATGATCTCATTACATGCCTAGAGATATGGGTAAGAATGAATATCTCCCTCTTGGTATCTTTTTAACTTATCATTGCTATGAGAGTTAGCTTATATTTAAATTTTTCTGGGTTTTTATATTTTTCAAGAACTCCTTTATTTTGTCTCTTCTGCCACTTAACATAGATTCTCATATCTCATTCATCAGCAAGCCTTAATGCATTACCCATGATTGTAGAAGCAGACGAGCAGGCCTGTTTTTTGTCCTGCCCAGCTCCCACATGGCTAGCTTTACACCTGAAATAACAACATACAAATTGTATTCTTTAAAACACTGCCTGGCCCATTAGTTTCAGCCTCTTCTTGGCTAACTCTCACATCTTGACTAACCCAATTCTAATCATCTGTGTAGCACGATGAGGTTTGGCTTACCAGGAAGATTCTAGCCTATGTCTGTCTTGGGCTGGAGCTTCATCGCGTCTGACCCAGAGAGGAGAGGCATGGCGATTGCCTCACTTCCTCCCAGCATTCTGTTCTGTCTACTCCACCCTAAGAGCTGGCCTATCAAATGGGCCAAGGCAGTTTCTTTATTAACCAATGAAATCGTCAAAAAAAGAAGACCCTTCCACATCACATGATAGCCAGCCATCCATTCCAAATGCAAATAATACTATCATCCTCTCGGACAGCTAAGGAACCTAAATGGCTGTTTTCATTTTAACTAGTGTAGTGATCATTTCAAATTCCTACACAGTAAAACCACAACAGTAAACACTCTGAAGATCTATGTAGCCTTGACCTAATTTGCTAAAAACCTCTGGGTTTCATTTTTTTCTGTTTAAAAAGGAAGAACCAAACAGCTTATACCTCAAAAGACTGTGTTTGAAATATACTGTGCTTGAAGTCTAAGTGTTTTCTTAGTATAATGATTGGCACATAGTAAAATGTACCTTTAAAATTCTAATTTTTTTTTAAACTTTTAAAATTTTTTTTCTTTCGAAAAATTGTCTACAACTCAGTGGTAGTAGCTAGTGATACCTATTTATTATGTTGTTACAGGGAAGTTTCTTCTGTGATGAGAGGAGAGATAGCCAACCTAACCTTCCTGAGAGTGATGTACAGTGTGAGCTGGAGTAGAGTGAGTTGGGTGGACTGCGTCCCGATACTGCTACTTATATAGGTGCTATTCTGTGCTTCTCCCATTAGGAACCATTGGAGACTGGAAGCATCACTTGACTGTGGATCAGAATGAAAGATTTGACAGAATATTCAACAGGAACATGAAAAACATTCCCTTAAAGTTCATCTGGGATATAAATGAGGAGTAGAATTTTAATTACCATTTGAATTAATCATATAAAAATGTACTAACCAAAGGCCATACTTAAATATTAAAAATAATTTCTTCCTCTCATTTAACTATGAATATAAAGCATAATTCTTGAATGAGAAAATTAACTTAAGCTTTGCTTGCTGGCCATATTATTGATTTCAAAAGTAGCTACTAGAATTGGTATCTTTTACGAAATGCTTTAACAGAAAACATAAAAAATGGCTTATAGTCTTCAGAGATTCTTCGATAGTTAACATTTTTTTACCTATAATTAATTTAGGATAGAATAAACACTAAAAATCCAATTACTCTTATAATTAACTTTAATTGATTGCTTTCAAAATCAATATACTCATTCAAATGTACTATGTGGAATAAAGAGAGATATCATATAAAAACATACATGCCTTTTAAAAATAATATAATGGATTTCATTTTACAGTAAAGATATAAAAATCAAAGATTAGACATATGTATGTTGGTTTAAGTGTGAAAGCCCAGGATCTGGGCTAACACCTGCAGACATAAGGGGATACAAGAGCCATGCTTCTATTGTGTCCATACCATTTAAGTGACATGCATTGCCAACCAGAATCATGGTGACATCTGAGCTACAGCTGCTACAAAGAACTCTGTCTAAATCCATGTCTAATCATAGCTAAGGTCTGTATTGATAGGTAAGGAACAAGGGGCAAAGGGTTTCAGGGTCTGCTCACCCAAGCCTGCATGAGCAGGGACAAATCCTGTGCTGCTCTAAGGAGGACTAGGGCCTGCTATCCAGACTGGTACAGTCAATGAGGGGTATAGTAAGAAGGGAGCTGCTTATTTGTCCCAGCCACCCAGAACTGAAATAATCACACAGAAACTATATTACTTAAATCACTGCTGGGCCCATTAGCTCTAGCTTCTTATTGGCTAACTCTTACATATTAATTTAACCCATCTCCATTAATCTGTGCATCACTACAAGGTCATGGCCTACCAGCAAACTTTCAGCACGTCTATCTCTGGCAGTGGCTCCATGACTTCTCTCTGACTCTGCCTTTTTCTCCCAGCATCCAGTTTTATCTACCCTACCCAGCTCTTAAAACCCTTCTCTGCTATGGGCTCAAAGTAGTCTTTTATTAACTAATGGTATTCACAGCATACAGATAGAAATCCCACATCATCTCCCCTTTTCTGTTTAAATAAAAAAGGAAGACTAACTTTAATATAGCACAATTAAATATAACAAAACAGGTATCAAACAAAAATTATAGTTACAATATTTATATCTACTTTATCTCTTATCACAACTAAGAAAAACTATATTATTACTATCTATTCTTCAATTCCATCAAAGACTTTAGAAGAATAGAATATTACCTAAGTAAACAATAAGTTCATTGTAAGCAACTTTTAAAACTTTAGAATTGACAGAGACATCTTCTACCTGTACAGTCACACAAAGTTTTTTATACCATTGGGGCATCCATCTTCAGCACACAGACCTATAGCATCAGGCAGACTTTTCCATGAAGTGGGAAGTTTCAATGACAGTTCCACCTATATTGGAATATTAGTTTGTTAGTCATTTTCTTCTGTGTCCTGCACAATGTTTGGCAGACTCTTTCATGAAGCAGGAACACTGAAGGATTGTTTCACCTTTAGGTAAGTTTCGCAGTCATTTCTCTGTGGGTCCTGCATGTCCAGTTAAGCAGTCTAAGCAAACAGTTTCTTGCCCGAATGGTTAGCAAACTCAAGAAGGAGACTTCAATATCCATCTTCCTCTTGAAGTAACAGGTGCTGCCAGGAGCAGACATGTCTCACTGTCATGAAAAATCCTAAGTTCTTAAAACATTTTAAATGCCATATTCTGTATTCTTTGGAAGGTTCGAATAATGCGTATTTGAAATACATCTCTGTACATATAGAAAATCTAACTAACATGACTACAAGTGTGATTATTATAGATGATTATCTATTAACCTCTATTTCTTAATTATATATTACACTTATTTTTTAAATGAGCTGAACAAATACAATACCTTAATCAAAAGAGCAGAAATATACATATATAACAGAATTGACCTAAATTTGTATCAATAGACAAGATCCAAACCAATGCCAAGTATCCATCTCTATAGCATATCCCCCCTTAAATGTAAACAAACCTTTATAGACAATATTTGGGAATATAGGTATAGTTATTTCTCTCCAAACTGCTTTGTATTTATTGGGTGAAGTATTTTGGAGGGTGTATTCACAGTGACCTTTGAGGGGGTCTTGGTTAATCAAGCCATATTAGTCTGGAAGCAATCTACAGGTTCTTATCCTCTGTGGAGACAAAAGAACCTCTTTTCCAAAGCAGCATATCCTTAGACCCAAATTCTAGAGTCAAGATACCTTTATAATATACATGCTGGTTTAGCCTAGTGTCCATATAATGAAATTTCTCCCTGTACTTAGCTCCTTCACAGTCAAAAACTTCAAAAAAAATCACAATAATATACATAATCCAGAGTCACTGTGAATTTTACATCCTTACTCTGTCTCTTTAAAGACTTTAACTTATTTTAAACCATTTATTTCTTTTTTAACTGCCCTTATTCATTTTATAACTCTCTATACTCTTTTTCTTCTCTCTCTCTAAAGCCTATTTACATTTAGTGTTCATTTTCATCTGAATTTGTATATCAGTAATTCTTTAGTGCCTGGAAATGCTACTTAAAATGCTAAGCACTTCTTAAAAATTTAAGCTGTGTTATTGCTAGGGGAAATACAGCATTTCCTGCTTGCACTACACAGTCCAGCATGGCAGAGCTGCTCGCTGTCTCTGAGAGTCACACACACACCCCACTTGCAGGCACACATGGGTCCAAGTTGCCATCAAAGAAGCCACAGCACGCTGCTCACACACCCCAATCAAATACTCTGTGGCTAAACTCCTGCTTGAAACAGTCAGAGTTTGCCCTTGCAGCATGGCCCAGAATGCAGGCATTTCAAAATGGTGTGGCTTTTTTCCTGCTATGGCTGAATCAAGAAAACCTCTCTTAAAAGTTCTGTGCCTTGTTTCCAGCAAACAGAGCCCAGCCAACAAATTTCTGCTACCAAACCATGCTTAACTCTGTTCTTTTGTGTCTCGGATAACTTTTTAAACTTTCTCAGGTTTTACATGGATTTAGTCCATCACGTTGGTACCAGTTTGTTAGATGAGAAAGTTGCTTATCTGTCCCAGCTGCCCAGAACTGAAATAATCACACAGAAACCATATTAATTAAATCACTGCTTGTCCCATTAGCTCTAGCTTCTAACTAGATAACTTTTACATATTAACTTAACCCATCACCAGTAATCCGTGCCTCACCATGTGGCTGTGGCTTACCAGCTAAAGTTCTGACTTATCTGTCTCAGTGGAGCTCCATTGCTTCTCTCTGACTCGACCTCCTTTCTCCCAGAATTCTGCTTATTTTTCCCTGCCTATCTCTGTTCCTCTATATAGGTCTAAAGCTGTTTCTTATTCATAAACCAAAAAAAGCAACACATAGAGAGAAGGACTTCCCACATCATTTCCCTTTTCTGTTTAAACAAAAAGGAAGGACCAACAATTCTGTGCAGCCCTATCCTCACTGCTTTTGTTGGTAAAAGGAATCATGGACATCAACACAATGGCAGCCATGGCAGGGTCCTGGACCCAGACATGGCCCCTAGCAACAGTCTAGGCTCAGAGACAACATGGCCCTGAAAGGCAGCACAGGATGCTCAGATCTACATGGCCCAAACAGACCTCAACCCTTTGACACTAACTGCCCTAGATTGCACCCAAGCTCCTGATGTCACATAAGCAGAAGGACTTCTTACATCATCTCCCCTATCTGTCCAAATAAAAAGTAAGGTTTTAACTTTAACATAATAAAATTACATATAATAAAGCAGGTATCAAGGAAGAATTACAGTTATAATATTTATATTTACTTTATCTTCTATATAACTAAGGAAAACTATAACTATCTATTCTCCATTTCCATCAAAGACCCCAGAAGGATATAATATTACCTAGGTAAACAGAAAGTGCATTGTAAGCAACTTCCAAACTTTTGAATTGACAGAGATATTTCACTGCCTGGACAGTTACCCAAAGTTCTTTTGTAACAATGTAGCACCCATCTTCAGCGTATTGGACCCTAGTATCTGGCAGACTTTTTCATGAAGCAGGACATTTCAAAGACAGTTGCCCCCATATTATCAATTTTTCAGTCACTTTTTTTCTGTGTCCTACAGAATGTCTAGCAGACTCTTTCATGAAACAGGAACCCCGAAGGATCATCTCACCTTTACACAAGTTCAGCAGTCAAGTCCTGGGGGTCCTGTATGTCAAGTTTATACAGAATAGCCTTAAGCAATCTAGTCAAGAACAGTTTGATATCCAAATGGCTAACTCATGTCATAAGGAGCCTCTTTGGTGCCCGTTATCCTCTTGAAGTAACTTGGTGCTGCCTGTCATAAAAAGTCCTAAGTTTTTAAAATGTTGAAATGCCATATTCTGTTAGTTTTTGAAAGATTTGAATAATACCTATCTAACTGAAATATATCTCTCTATATCTAGAAAACCTAACTAAAATCACTACAACATTGACTATGATAGATAACTATCAATTAACCTTTGTTTCTTAGTTACACATTACATTTTTAAATGAGCTGAATAAACACAATACCATAATCAAGAGCAAAAATAAATATTTGGGGGTATGTTCATGGCTACCTTTCAGGATTCTTCGTCCATCAAACTAAATTAGGCTGGAAGGAATCCATAGGTTCTCATTCTCTGTGGAAACAAAAGAACTTTCTCCAAAGCAACATATTCTTAGAAACAAATTTTGAAGACAAGATACCTTGAATGTATTGCCAAGTGACTGTGGCTTACTGGCAAGGTTCTGGGGCTACATGCTGTCTATTTGACTCTGCCTCTTTCTCCCCTCATTCATTTTAGTTTTACCTGCCTAGCTCTATTCTGTCCTATCACAGGCCTAGAACAGATTTGTTATTCATTAACCAATAAAATCAACACATATACAGAAGGACTTCCTACATCACAAGGGTGTCCAGCAGTAGGGGCAGCATTTTGGAAGGAATTTTAAGGTGAATACAACTTCCAGTGAAAGGTATGTTGAGGAGAGGGTTGATTGTTGACCTGCAGAGTCAAGCAGAGGCTGGATAGTGTGGAAGGCTGGTGCCAGGGCTATTAAGGTTAATATGACAGGGGTGAGGGGAAAAAGAAAAGACAAACACACAGACACACAGAAAAACTGGTATCAGGGAAACTGGGCTCTCTGATGGAGAAACATCAGCAACACAGAATCTCAGTGGCTTTATGGTACACACTTGAACAGGGAGGCAGAGATTTTGAATACAGTCAAAGCA